CTCTTCCCGGTGCCCCTTCTCTTCCCGGTGCCCCTGCTCTTCCCAGTGTCCCTTCTCTTCCCGGTGCCCCTTCTCTTCCCAGTGCCCCTTCTCTTCCCGGTGTCCCTGCTCTTCCCGGTGTCCCCTCTCTTCCCGGTGTCCCTGCTCTTCCCGGTGTCCCCTCTCTTCCCGGTGTCCCTGCTCTTCCCAGTGTCCCCTCTCTTCCCGGTGCCCCTTCTCTTCTTGGTGTCCCTTCTCTTCCCGGTGCCCCTGCTCTTCCCGGTGCCCCTTCTCTTCCCGGTGCCCCTTCTCTTCCCAGTGCCCCTTCTCTTCCCGGTGTCCCTGCTCTTCCCAGTGTCCCCTCTCTTCCCAGTGCCCCTTCTCTTCCCGGTGCCCCTTCTCTTCCCAGTGCCCCTTCTCTTCCCGGTGTCCCTTCTCTTCCCGGTGTCCCTTCACTTCCCGGTGCCCCTTCTCTTCCCAGTGCCCCTTCTCTTCCCGGTGTCCCTTCTCTTCCCGGTGTCCCTTCCCTTCCCGGTGCCCCTGCTCTTCCCGGTGTCCCTTCTCTTCCCGGTGTCCCTTCTCTTCCCGGTGTCCCCTCTCTTCTCTTCCCGGTGCCCCTTCTCTTCTTGGTGTCCCTTCTCTTCCCGGTGCCCCTTCTCTTCCCGGTGCCCCTGCTCTTCCCGGTGTCCCTGCCCTTCCCGGTGCCCCAGCCCTTCTCCAGGTACCACCCCTGGGAATGGGGTCCATTTATTCCTCTGTGTCCCGGGAAAGGGGCAGCGCCAGGACCTGGGAATGCTCAGCTGCCTCCTCCCAGCGGATTAGCCAAGATTCCCAGGGCAGGGCACACTCCCCAGCCACTTACTTTTCCTTTCCTTTATATCCGCGTTTCTCCTTCTTCTGGCTCATTCCAGAGCAGCTTTGGATTTCTCTGAGCTTTGGTTTGTTGTTGGTTTGGTTTTTTTTTTCCCACCCCCCCCCTCCTCTGGTAGCTGGGGCCCTGCCAACCTTCTGGAGGGGCCAAAGTTTTATTATCTATAGGGATATACATTTTGAGAGCAGCCCAGCTGCACACAGCCTGCCTGCACCTCAACCCTGCTCCCGGGGCAAGTTCCACCCGGGCGAGGAGCAGCAGCAGGGGTGCTGCTCGTGTCTCTCCTCCAGCTATTCCTGTCAAGATGGATTTATGGCTTTAAAAGGAGGCAGAGAGAAGGGGGGGGGGGGTTTGGGGGGGGAAGGAAAATTGCCTTCAGGAGCCAGAGCTCCCAGCACAGCCCAGCAAAACACCCGTAAAGGAGCAGTCGGATCTCAAGGCATGAGCAGCGTGGAGGTGGCAGCCTGGGATCTGCTGGATCCTTGCACGTACTATGACTGATCTTGAGCCTTTCATCTGCCTTCACAGAGCCCAGACCGTGGATTTAAGGTAGTTTGCCCGGGACCAGACTTTGCTATGTTGGCCAAGGCAGTGCTTTCTCTTGGTCTGTGGCTGCAGTTTGCTGTGGGACAGAACACACCTGAGAGAGGTGAGTGCCTGAGAGGACAAGGCTTTGCCTTCCTGCTTTCCCCCATTTCCTACCCCCCTTTTCAGAATACAAGCTGAAGCTGCATTGCTGCGTTAGGTGTAAGGTTATACTTGCATGTTACTTTGCTGGCACAAGGACAAAACAAGCAAGAAAACCTTTCCAAAATGGAAGAAATTTTCTTTTGCTTTTTTTCCAGTGGAAACTGTTTCAGAAACTTGCAGAGGTCAGTGCAGTCCTGTGGGGCAAGTCCTGGCTCCTCACTCTGACCCGTGCACTGAGGCACCTTGATGAAGAGAAGGGCAAACAGGGATGGGTACTGTGCCTGTCCTGCTCTTCTCTTGCTAATCTCTGTAATTCCATCATTCTATTCCCCCTTTAAGGTGCTTTCCCTTGGATGCTGTTCAGGGAACGTGGCTGTGGGTCAGTCTCCCAGAACTGGTGGCAGGGGAGGGACGTGGAGGAGGTGAAGGTCTCGTGCCTGGTTCCTGCACACTGGTGCTGGGCTGAAGGCTTAAGCTGATGCAATTACTTTTGTTCTGCCTTGTGTTGCCAAGTGGAAAAAGGGTTCTGCTCTTGCACTGCGTGGCTGCTGCTGCCTGCATCTGCCTTGCACTGCACCTGGGAAGTGTGATCCAGTGGGAAAGGGGACGGGAACCTCCCGTCTGTCTGGACAGGAGGTTCTCATCCTCAGCCCAGGCTGCTGGGGTCTGGTTGTGCTTCTGGCATGCAGGGCAGACTGTGTCTGCTGCTGGGCTCCAATTCCAGGGTGCTGGATCCTGTCCCTTGGTGGCAGGAATGGCCCTGCTGCCTCTGGCACTGCTGCAGGGAGTGATGCCCCCA